ATATACGCCAGTTTCCAACCGTCCTCCATCCGAAACCGAGGCATCGCAATCCAGGAACGCCATGTGATGTGAGTATCAGTCACCTGGATGCAGGACTCAAAAGCCTGAATTTTGCCCGAAACTCTCAGACTGAAGAAGTCTCTTGGAAGAGAGACGAAACGTTTCATTAAAGAAGAACCCGTCCAGAGGACCTATACAATTTTTTTCCTTTTAATATTATTTGAAAGCTTAATATCTTTTTTCTAGATTCTGTGTTGTCAGCCATTGTAGCAATACTCTGTTTAAATACAAACATTCCCCTCTGTCATCACTTCCTGTTACTTCACGTGCAAATATCTCAACAACTGTTCATCTCAGCTGTGAGATTTATTTTTTGCAATGTTATAAACGTTATCTTTCCAAAAATGCATTCATATTTATTACAAAAATTTGATGTCACAGGCACTTTATAGAAGACAAAACTGTTATTCACCTTATTTTTATTTTTTTTGTTTGTTTTACTTAAATAGATTAGTATTGTTGTGAGAAATGTACTTTCTGTAATGCAACATTTAAAGCATGTTCTTCCTTCATCAGGTCAAAAAAAACAGTCACTGATTCTTCAGAGCTGTCCACAAGCGAGAAGAACAAGGTGATAGAAGACGGTCAGAACAACAATGTTGAGCCAGCTGCTTATTTATCAGGATAAGCCTCATCCCCATCTCATTACCTGCACTCACCTACCAATCAGTAAATCACCCACAGAAACAAACTGCTCAGTTAGCATATGCACACACGACTGCTTTTCTGTGTTGCTGCATTTCTAAAGTAGTCTGTAAATACACAAAAACAGCACTGTATGCACTTGTTTATCAGCACTCACTCACTCAAAAAAAATAAAAAATAAAAAGCTGCAAGATACTCTAGAATTGAAATGGACTCCCGCTGCAGCAGCCATGACAGAAGTTGGATCTTTACTGTGCTGTCACCGAAAAGGATTGACTCTAAGTGGACTGTCACTCATATCATGCTCTCTTGCATCCCTCTGGTGCTCTTATGTCAGCTCAGCCTCTACTGTTGGCTGAAACGAGAAGAAACACAAACTCTTGCTAAAAGACAATGAAAACACCTGCTTCTAAAACCTGAATGTGATCAAACTGAAATTTTCTGATTAATTGGAATTGTTTATTTGAATGTTCAATACTACATGAAAACTAACCAGACTGGTAACAAACTGACAACCAGTTGGATAGATAGTAATGTGATGTACCTACATAAAATAGGTTAAGCATGTCAGGAGTAGAAAGATTAAAACTAATTAAAACTGGTTTCTGTTTTCAAGACAGAAACCCTTGATTTATCTCAGTTTATAGAGCTGAACTATAGGCTTGAGCATGGGCGGCTCTGTTAGATAAATAGTGATGATGATGCAAAGCTAACACTAATAGTAGATCTGTAGCATTTTATATCATGCCATAGTTCTGTCTGATGCAGGTAAAGACAAATCTGCTTTCTTGATTTGTGTACAGTTTCAAGTTGACCAATCATAGGTTCTACATGTACCTACAAAAAGCTGGATTAAGAATGAAATGTGACTTTTATTCTCACATTCAGATGTTTATATGGTGTGTTTCAAAGGCTACTACGTGTGGCTTTAATTCATAGGCAAACCAGGAAAGAATGACTTCATTTAAGTGACTGATAAAAAAGTGAAACACAAAGGCATTCTGAACTTATCTTTTGCCTTGAAATGAATAATTGAGGCTTCAGACAGAAAAAAGTAGATAATTGTGTTCTGCACTGTATCCCATTTTGCACAAGCTTCTTCATAACTTGTAGCATTTGTTATAAAAACACACAAAAACAGAAGTGTGACTTTTTTTCCTCATTGATGTGGATTKATTATTGTACCCTTTTTTATGTGTATTGTCTGTATTGAAATTAGTTTTTTTGTCACAAATGTAATAACATCTTTATTGTGTCAGATATAACTGATCAAATTATTTGAATTCTGCTAAATGATGGCTATTATCAGTCTGGTGTTTCATTTAGATATAATCTAAAGTTCCTCTTCATCACATTTCTGTGAGGCAAATTAATACCTTTTGTCTTGTTATGACTTTAAGAAAAAAATGTCTTGCCTCTGAAGGTTGCAGAGGGATGCCTTATATTGTCAACATGACCCAGACCTTATTTCTGTATGTGAACATTGTGAAAACCAAGTGTTTTTCATTCACTTATTTCAAATGTGATTTCTACTGATGACTCATCACTCCTCTACTGACCTTGGTTTTATATACTTGCAATATAAACCAATCATTTCAAGCCTGTGATATTTTGTAATTACACTGATATTCTAATTCTCTAAATTTATTAGTGTTGACTTTTTTCCTGTTAAAGACTTGTACAATGTTTTGACCTACCTTTGTGTTGCTGYTGTTGTCACCAGTGTAGTTTTTCAAATTCAAAGGCGGCACCCTGTGTAGGTTGTAAGACATAACTGAGGGGGTTGAATAGAAATTTGGTATACCTCGTGTGAATAATGAAATTGGTTGCTGACAAACAATTTTATAGAAAAACAAAACTGTGGCGTTATTGTGTAACATTAAAAATATTAATAATTGAATATTTTGAGATAAGTTATTGGCAAATTTGAAAACACTCACTGACAAATAGTATTTAGGCCAAGGGTTTGTTAGTTAAAGGTCCACACAGTTTAGATGGAGAACAGATTTTTTACATCAGTGAATCTTCTCATTTTTTGTTGTCATTGTGTGTTTACTGTAATCAAATGTGATGAAACTGAAATCATTAAAAGGTGTGCCTTAAAAAATAAATTTCTTTTTTGGAAATATTTGGTGTTTGGTTTTATTTGCCCCTGATGGAAATACCTAAAGGCTATATTGCAGATGTCCAGAACAACTACAAATTCTTTGGAATCTCACAGGCAAACRGCAGCCATGAGGCCCCAAGAAAGTCAGCCACAACCAAGTACCAATAAAAACGTAGGGTAGGTCCTGAAGAACCAGCTGAAAAGCAAAAATAAATTCCAAGCTGTGGTGGAAATATATTATATACAGTAATTCTGCATAACTGCTAAGTTACCTTGAAATGTTCTGTTCTGTATCTCATTGATTACTGCCACATTGTATTGTAAGAAAAATATGTGTTCAATACGGCTGAAGTCAAGATGAAAACACAATTGTTAAATAAAATGATTTGTGAAAGAAATAAAGTCATACAACACCAGAATTCTGGACCTGAGTGAGGTTTATTTGTCACCAGGCTGACAAGGAAAACCACACTGGCCAAAAGCCAGGAAGTACACCTTTTATACATGATTCTTTAATGCCTGAGTTCGCCCCCTACTGACCTACGGCTGAATCATAGGCATTCATCCAATAAACTCAACCAAATGTTATCATTCCGGTTCACTTATGTGTTGTTTATGATTCAGACATGTAACTACTCTATATCAATAGATCACACATTATAAAAACATTATTAAAAGGAAACCCTAATAATCTAGTGTTGTTTCTAACATCAGTACTAATCTGTAATAACTATAAATTTCTTCAATCCCCCTTTTCACATGACCAAATCATGTGAAATAAACTATGAAATTTATAATAAGCTATGTTTGCATTAAGGCACAAATGTGTATGCAAATTACTYTAAGCAATACAGCACAACGTGGAAAATTTCTAACATCCCAACCCTGACATAAAGTACTATGATTCATTTATTCCACCCCAATCAAAATAGAAAGCATAAATCAAACTATAGTCAAATATCAACCAGGTCAGCTGTTTTTATTCTAATCGGGGCCAGAGGTTCCAGAACTTAGCCCACTGTTGGGAATAAGTCCTCAGCACTTTACCATCTCCTCCTCTGCGTCAGACTGACATGGTTAAAAACATTTCAACTTATTAAAATATTAAAAAACCAGTCAATCAAATTTTTACACCATTACTAAACATACCTGCTTAGTGTGTCACGTCTATAAAAAGAATCAATAATGAAAAACAAACAAAAATCAAACAACATTTTATCAAAGTCATTTAAAATCAACTCATTAACCTATGATTTTCATGTCGGGCTACATGAGTGTAAGTATGTCAGTGTTACCATTCTATATCTAAAAATGTCAGCTAGAATCATCATTTTTAGGGCCTTGGTGTCAACATCAGTCGTCCTCGCCATAGGGGTACATCAGCGATGGCACTGGAGCGGTATCCGACATCTGTACCATTTGATACTCGATGTTGGTTGAAGGTGTTTCGAACAGTCTGGGAGATGGCCCTTAAACACAACACTCTAGCCACAGGGATGCCACAGAAACAGCAAAAATCCAGTATTACCACCACCATGACTAATTGCATCACCACAGCAGACATCACCTTTTTCCAACCTCCAAAAACCTTCATGAACCATCCCTCAGTCTGMGTGGCAGTCTTTTACATATCATTCATCTCCACAGACAATGTTCGTAGGCCTTTAACAGCCTTTGTAAATGATCCAGCAGTGTCAGTATTTTCAGGAATAAATGTACAACAACATGACCCAAAAAATGAACAGACTCCACCTTGTTCTGCTAATAAATAGTCTAATGCAATGCGATTCTGATAAACCATTAAATATGTTGCTGCTAATTGCTCGTGTGCATTCTGAAAGGCATACCTGGTCAAATTATTAAGCCTCTGCAAAGAAAAATGAATAAAATTAAGACGATCCACRTTTTTATTAAGGATAACCCACGGTAAAATGCTTTCAAAACCAGCTGCCACCTGATCGATCAATTTAAACTCAGTAGGAACACCTCTTGGCACTCCAATTGCATCAATGTACACTGGACTGTTTGCATATGTATCAAACTCACATTTAACCCGGTTCAAGTTACAACCTGCTTATCCAAGAGAGCCCGATATTCCTGCAATTCATCAATTGTGATATTTACAATCCTTACCGGCGAGACCAGGGACACTTCCACACACAGGCCWCTCCAACCTGCTTGCAACACTTTTAACAAACGATTATTACCACAGTACCAAAATACATCTGCCCTATTCAACGTTGCATTCTCCCACAAGGATACATCAATCACCTGTTTGCACCAGGTCACATTCAGTCATCCAACATCCACGCTTCTCTGCCGCCCCCTTCTGGCCAAACAAGTGAAACTGCCCTCCACCACCTTGAAGACAGGAGGAACATCTGTTCTTGAAGACATAGGGAAAAAAAAGTTCTAAATATTTACACTGAACTGATGGGTTTTCAGTAATATGTAATTGCAACATACAGAAAAAAGTTGAAGCATTACTCAGAGGTGATGGGACCGTTAATAATGCTGGCTGTGCCTCTGCACAAACCACACAATTTGACAATTTTGCTTGACTGGCAGCATTTCTGACAAACTTCAACCAATAAGTAGTTTCCGTAACTCCAGTGTCCACAACAAGTTCTTTACTAAATCCCACATCAACTGTTARCTCCAAGTCGCTAAGCTGCACCACATGAATATAGATTTTACCCACTGGATCTCGTCCTTTTACCGCCAGCCCCATCAGCAGAAATCCAATGTCTGACACCTGTGGATTTCTCAAAGTCAGAAACATAGGGTTACAAATGGAATCATTAACACACAGGCCCCCTTTAATTTAGTCTCTTCTAATTTCTAGTCGGTCTTGAAAAGGAATTTTTCCCCATCCACCTAACTGATAACCACATCCAAAGYCCTTTTCCATTTTCCAAAGAAAATGGAAGCAGTTTGCCCCTCCACAAAAGTAAATTTATAAGCCTCATAATGTACATCTGCTCATTTCCCTCTGCCTTTCAAGAATTCCAGCAGCACCTTGGATGACACATTATGTAGGTTGTCAAACACAAAATCGTCATAAGATGGCAGATCAGTCACGTTGTCAGGGATTAGACCAGTCAGGTTAATCAGGTTAGTTTGCATAGCATCGTCTTTTTCTGTGTTTCGCATCCCACATGTTAATTCAAAACAACAAATAAACAAATAAAAGAAAAAAAATTCCCCCTGAAGCCATTATCAATCTCATACGATGGCTTCCATTTTTTTAAACCTATATATATA